GTTGAAAAATGCCCCGGTCCGAAGTGGTTAAGACCGGCTCAGGAGAATGGACCCTGATAATGCCCTCAACTTGCAGCTTGAGCATTAGTCATGTCCAATCTCTTGAGCCGGTCTAAAACGAACGTTTAAGACTGGCCAAGCACATATTTATTCCCTTATTAATAACTCCTTCAGCATCCTTGCTTATCCTGATTCCTCCCTAGTTATAATTTACGCAGGAACCGGTGACACAGAATCACGAGTGAACCACTTCACGAGAGAGAGATTTCCACTGCCTTTTCATTGTTGACATTTCAACACCTTTCCTAGCTTGTTATCCTATTCATTCCTTCCCCAAACAATTACTGGTAATCCGTAATCAAACACCAACAAATTGCAGGGTTCGCCTGCCCCTGCTTTCAAGTGCTGAAGCATGAAATTGTAGATAGTGTTCTCCGTTTTGCTACAGTCTTTTTTCACAATTTGAAGTTTGCTGAGTGAAGTTTGTTGAGATGAGTGAATAGGCTTAGGACTTGCAGTAGATGTAGATCTGTGTGGCCAAGTTGATGGGCATGTACACAGAGAACAGGCAAGAGCATCCATCCTTCATCCTACCTCCTGGATCATGCTGGCAGCGAGGCCGTATGTCACCCCTGTCCACACCTCTTCGCTCTGCATGGTGGAGCAGTCGATCCGCCCGTTGGGCTTGACCCCGTTCACTGCCCCAAACCGCCCCTCCCGGAAGGGCAAGACGTTGGTCCGGTAGACTGTCTCCAGCGCGCTGCGGACGTGGTTGGCGGGGAAGATGTCAGCGCCTGTCTGGTCCCTGGCCAGGTTACAGGCCCTCAGGTACCACTGGCCTGCCAACTGGTCGGCCATGCACGTCTGGCTGAGTGGTGAATGGCTACTGTCATAGTTGTAATACTTGCCTGGAGGAAGAGTTTGAAAACTTAATAACCTCTCAACTGTTACAACAGATACAATATTGAGGCTACGCCTGTAATTAGCTTCTTCAGGATTTAAAAGCAGTGCAGGAGGAGATGATAAAATGAATATCGAGAATAACCGTATTACACGGTGACTGTAATTGAAGGCACTCTACACTGGTTGCTGTTTACTTCTTTGGCACCAAACTGCAGTAAGGTATGGAAGTTTTCTCTTACCGTTCCACAGTTTGGCTTCGTAAGAAACCTTTCCCTTGTCCAGAATTGCTGAATACTCTGAGGCATCTGTGTCGTGGCCAAGAATGTGCGCCATTTCCACCATGCAACGCAACGCAGCCAACCACAGCCCACCACAGTATGCACTGCAAAGGGTAGAATAATAATAATGAACATTTATAGAGTGCCGATATCCGCCGCGACGGCACTCACGGCACTAGTAAGCAAAAACATCCAATAATGTTAAGTTGAGGAATATTAACCAAATGTTTGTCGATGCAAATAGGATTTTAATCTGTCCTTGAATGTGTCAAGTGATCTCAACGGTCTCATAGTTTCCGGTAAAGAGTTCCAATGTTTGGGTGCTGCAATCCAAAAGCTTCTCTCCCCCAATGATGACAAGCCATATACAAAAATGATTTTGTCAACTTGGAGCTACTCCTAAAAAAAATCTGTTCTAAAACTATTGAAAAAACACAGTGGTTTCAAGAACATATTCAGGTTGCAAGATGGTACACAGTTTGAAAACACAGCACTGGATAAAAAATGCAATCTGTAATTATCCTAAAAACATTATAAACGTCTGAAATGTGCTGGACAGGAATAAAGTCTTAAAATTCAATCTTAAGAATTCGAACTAACAAGGTGAAAATAACTTTCAAGAGAACTCTGTAACAATGGGCAAAAGACAGTTACCAGTTCGTTTTTCTTAAACATGGAAAATTAATGAACAATTGGTAAAGGGACAGAAGTTCTAACAAAAAAAAAAGAAATGAGAAAAACCAGTGAATTTGACTTCATTTTTTTCATTGATACAATTTTGTGAATGAAATATTTGGCCACAGTGGATCAGTTTATTTCTTCAAGAAAGATTTTCAGATGAAAATAAGATTGTTCAGTTTAAGTAGCAATATGGCTGAGAGAGGCAACAGCATCAGTCCAACCTGGCTCCTGTCATCACCCAGGCATCATAAGTCTGGTCCGGCATGCCAGAGTTGTCAATCAAACCGTCGTCGTCAATGTCTTGTAGCTTGGCTGTTTCCATGACAGTCTATAGACAAAACAACCAACACAAATTCAGACGATGTGGACTACATTTCACATGATGTAAAAAGAGTTTAAGAATAAACCAAAATAAACAGGGAGCTAAAAGGAGGATATACATCAAAGGTCTACTAAGACAGTATAAAGTGACTGTATCTTGGTGCTCTCCACTAGTAAAACAAATAAACACCTCGTGGCATGTTTTAATAACTAAGGACACAAGGAATGACAAAGGAATGCTTTTGTCACTAGGCTTCTGACTAAGTGACTTGGCATCGACTTGTAGGGATCTTGTGGTGAGCTCCACAATCAGATTTTGCTGGACAATGTTGCCTACGCCCAATTACGTTCCAGGTCCTCACCTTGCACTTTGGGTACATCTCTCTGAGAAACACAAGGTCTTGGATCTGGTAGAAGTCCCGATAGATCATCAAGACAAACTTGAGGTTTAGGTCCTTCCACTGGCAGGTGTCGTGCTGATAGTAACCGTTGATTCTCTTCCACGGTTCCTCTTCTGCAGAGAGTAAGGTCAGAAAGAAGACATGAGGTGGTGTATGTGGTGGTATGCACAAGCAGTCCTTCATAACTCTGCAAAGAGTTGATTGGGACACAGACTGAGACTGGTGTCTGTGAGACCACACAAATGTTGCTCGCTAAGCAGTGATACAAGGGCTGGGTTTTAGATGGCTTGTTCAGGGGTTTACTTTTCTGGGAATGCTGTACTTGGAATAGGATCACACACCACCTCCTAGTCAGGGATTTGGACGAACACACGAATAAAACGTGTGGGATGTTAACTTTTGAACAGTCCCTCAACAACAGCAAAATGACCAACATAGCTGGAGATGATTAGTTCATTTTGTATTTAACATAACATAAAATAATTTTCCATGTCACAGAAATGAACGTTTCCTTTTCCAAACGGGAACAGACTCTTGAATAATGTACATGGACACTGCCATGTTGCATGCTTATTTTTCACTGCCAGCGATATATGATAGATGGCCCTCATAACCAATTGCTCACTCCTGGCATTCAAGTGGCTGAGCCATGAACAAAAAATTGAGCTGTTCTTGGAAGTGTAAAAACACGCTACCAAAACTCAGCCCGGAGCTCAAGACACACGTACATTGCCACCAACCTGACTGCCGTCAGATGGCACTTACATCCATTTATTTCATGGCATGACGTTCTGAAATCATCTGCTTGTCAGTCACAGTCCTCATGCAATTCCCCACGAACAGTACACACAGTGAACAATGCTAACACTGTCCTATACTCATTCACATAGCCAAGGTTATGTGTCATCTTATTGGATAGAACTTCAGTCCCGTTCAGGTAAAATTATTGGCGACGGCATTTATAGTACAAGTCGATTGGGCAAATGCTTTTGTACCACAATATTCAATGATTCTATCATCTTGTTTTCACGATACAGGTTAGTATTTACGATCTATATTCACCGTTCTAGCTTTGCAGGTGCCATCTGTACAATGTGCTCATCAGAATCATAATGTTGCTCGTGAGCTCTCCATCCTATTAAATTCTGTCGCTCTGCATGTCCCTTGGCTTTGTTACTACCAGCACTTGTCAAGAAGCACAAAATGAAACACCTTTGGCTATTAAAATCCACCAAAGGAGTTTCTTTTCGAGGTAGAATCTGCACTGCCAACGGCATCTCTGCCGCATACTGAAATGCGTGTCATGCATGCCAAGACCGAAGACGACAACAAAAGCCTGAAACCTACCAGGATCTCCTATGTCGTGTGGTATACAATCAGCCAGCTTCCGTGTTGCTTGTTTGCCGTTGGCTAACTGGCTATAGGATTCATCATCCGTCACACTGACACAACTGCCTGTGGAATAAGAAAAATTGATATACTAAGCGTCTATCTGATAAACTAAGCATCTATCAATTAACCCCCCCCCCAACACCTTCAGGCATATACCAAAATACAATGGACTATTGCATACATTTTGGTCAGTACCAACAATGAAGGACCTTTCTTCACAGCTGACATCATATTCATCTTTTGCCTAAAGACAAGGTAGTCTTTGACCCTTACCTCCTAAGGATCTTTGCAAGGAATGCTTTATTAATCCCTAAATCAAGGGCTGATATTCATAAAATCCTGCCAACTTAGCAGCTGACTAGGCCTTAGCAGCCTGCTAAAAAAGTGTCCTGCTCCATGGTTACCAACTAATTTAGTAGTCATAAAATTTGGCTAAGGAAGCTACCAGCTAGTTGGCAGCTAGATAAACATACAGCTAGGACATTGGGCAGTTCTTCATAACCAAAACAGGAAAATGTATATTTGCATGTCAAAAGGATGTTTCAGATGGGTCAAATGACTTTTAGGAACAGCAGTCAACTACATGTAGGCTTAGCATTTTTTTGTGAATTGCACGGTTTAGTTGTGCAAGTTCAAGTATACATCTCGCCATGTTTGCGGCTCAATGTGTAACCTACAAATGATTTAGTTGCCAACCAGTGACTTAGAGACATCTCAGATCAACTCTAATGTTAGCAGCCAACTTAGCAACTTGAGCAGGGAGAATTGATATTCCCGATGCTTGTTTTTCAAAGAAGGAGATTGGTGAGTGTATTTTGAGAGGAAGTTTTCACTAATCTTTTCTTCTTTTCTGTTGTAGGAAGTAAGGGTCACAAATGGACAAACAAGAGTCTTTACAAACAGGCATTGCTCGCAGAATGTTCCACTATTATCAGTTGCATTCAATTCATGGAATTTATCAGCGAAGTGTTGCTGCATTTCTTTTCAACAGTAGGTGGAAAAGCTTGAAAAAAAACCCAAAAAACACATTAACAAGTATCATTCACTCTTTCTGTGACATATATCAAATACTTACCTATAAAATCTTGTAGACTAATCTCAATCCGTGGCCATAGCATTGTCAAGGCAAACGAAGCATAGAAATGAACATCATACGTGTTGAACATCCTATACTCATGACCTGGGGAAAAGAACACATCAAACTTTGATATTCATCATACTGGTATTTATAAGGTTTGTTGAAAAGTCAACTGCCAAGTAGGCTCCCTTCCTCCATGAAGCTCCCCTTTGTTCAAGCATGAGATAGATGTGTAGTGACCTTGAGCAAGTCGCTTTACTCCCACTTGACCTCTCTCAACCCGTGGCTATTAATGGAGTACCGGGTACCTGTGAGGGGCTGAGATAGTTGTGTTTGATCAGCCATTTGTACCTAAAATGGCAGCACAGAGCTGTACCGGTATAGTCCCTAGGGAGCTGAGATAGATTTTTAGGAATATTTATGGGCCCGGTGAGCAAGGGAAATAAAAACAATGATGATGGAAGCTTTGTAAATAAATACCCATAATTGTGATTATTATTTACCCTCGAGGTATGCAAACAGGCCCACGTCTTTCCTGAGTTTGGCCATTTTACAGGGCCTGTCCGGTGTGCTGTTGCTGCCTGCTGGGCTGCCGTTAGCCCGGTCTTCCTGTAGCTCCAACCAGACGGAGCCCCCGTCTGACATGAAGTATAGCTCATTGAACAAGGCCGACTTGTACCAGGCTGGGTAGAAACTGAAGTGAGAAACAAAGAACGGAATAAAATTGAAGTTTACTATCTGACAAAATTGCCTGTGACACATTACGGCATTCATCCATGACACAATGACTTTTGCTGATGTCCTAACTGTGACACAAGACCCAAGGTCATGGTTGACCATGAAATTGCTGAACTGCCAAATAATTAAACCAATGACCGACTGTCATTAACTACTGTATGGCTGCCAAATTGTGCTCTCATAAGCTTCAAACATAAGAAAAAACCTTTGACTGTCAATAAAGTCGCTTGATTTTCCCTAAACAAAATATGAACCTTGAATAAAGCAACATTCAAAACAATTGGTTGTTTTTATTATTAAGCATTTCTGGTAATGACTCAAAGGATTCCTCAAAAGTGCCCTAGGTACTGTGGCTCGCAAGCCTGAAGGAACCTCTAGAGAGGAGACAATGAGAAGCAGTTACAGTTATTGAGGTGGGGGGAACCCTGGAGGAATGCTCTGAGTAAAAACCCATGGAATCAAGTAGGGATTGAAAACCCAATCCACACGTGGACTGAGCCAGGATTCAAAACTGGACTGCAGAGATGGAAGGCGAAGAAAGAACCACTATGCCAACCTGACTCCCCGAACTCGTATTGCACACTCTTCACCTAAACTGCAAACCTCACTATGAATAAAAGCATTCACGGACATAATACACTGTACTGACATTTCCATAAAAATGTCCCTAACACAGATGAAAGAATAAGCCAGACTCAATGCACCTGTCACAGGTTGGAGGGGGGAACATGGCTTAGAGGAGGGGGTTCCAAAATATTTGCATTATTAAAGTAAAAAATCCTGATTGAGATGGACACATACTCTTCCTCGAGGATAGGTCTCTGCCAGGACTCAATGGCCTCCTCCCACTGGGGGTAATTGCGTAGAGCATGACTGCATAGTCTGGGGGCCGCCTTACCATCCTGACCAAACCAGCGTGTGTACCGCCTGCAGAGTAAAAACATTAACTGTGTTAAATAATTGATTGTGGTAGTCACTTCTCACAAGTGATCTTAGCCCAATTTCATGGCTCTGCTAACTGCTTGTAAACAATTTCCGCTTACCATAGCAGAAAGTTCCGTGTTTATGGTAAGTGTGTTTCACCTATTCGCAGGGAAATTTGGGTTATGTGCATGTGTTAATTCCGTAACGACGAGTCTCTGCCTACTTGGTTGGCATGGAATATAGCGCTGGGGCTGTAAGCACAAAGTGTTGATTTTATGTGCAAAATTCTGTGCTTAGCAAAGCCATGAAGCTGGGCTTAGTTCTGACTAACTAATCCTCCAAACTTTAGTAGTTTAGCTCAGATTAGTTCTGAGCATACATCAATCTCACATTTTGTTAGTCAAGGGCAACACCCAAGTATAAAAATTTGCAAGAAACTGGATAAAAAATTGGAAGCTTCCACTTGAGATAAAGGCAGCTTTGTGAAATGAAAGCAGCAAAGAACCCTCCCTGTCAGTTCTAAAAATGAAAACCCTCAATTATATATAACGGGTTTGCCCTTACCCAACGTATATTAATAAACACTGTATGCTCAGTGCTTGTCCGAGAGCTTGCAAAAAAAAAAAAAAAAAAAGCAAGCTCTCGGACAAGCACTGAGCATACAGTGTTTATTAATATACATGTACGTTGGGTAAGGGCAAACCCGTTATATATAATTAACATCTCCCCACCGCAAAAAATACATCTTGAAAACCCTCAAATAAGCAAAGTAAGGGCAACTGGATGCATAACCTTGTATATTCCAGCATGGTGGAGCATTAAATAAACAATACAGAGAATGTGGTTAAATGAAAATAGGAATGGACACTCTTTGGTTTACTAAATGCATGAACAAGAGCCTGGTATGGACCAATCGGGTTGTAAACTCACTATTGTCAATTTTGGTAAATTAGTGTGTTCAATTAGTCGATGATAGGCCTGATCAACCCAAATGGCAATGTATGTTCTATTGCCTGTTGTTTCTGTCATGAAAAGTCACAACAAGATATCCACTATATTAGGTAGTGATAAACGCAATAACAAGGCTAGGCAGCTGTGGGTGATCAGGTGATCCAGTGAAAGGTGTAGTGTCAGGTGACACAGAATTGAAGACGGCTAGGTTGCCGTTCCGGAGTGATCGGGTCATCCAGTATAAATGTAGTGTGTCAGGTGGCACCACGCATTCCTTGTCTCGTGTGTACATGTATTTGTGTGCATTCTCTGTAAGTCGCGAGGTCCTGTGTTTCGGTAACCGGCTCCTTGCCTTTAACCTATTCCATAATTAAGTGTCATGAGGCAATTTGTGTATTACAAGACTACTAAAACTAGTGATAAGCTGTGGCAAAAGTTCAGAGAATGGTCTCACCATGAGTTGATTGTGTTTGTCCGAGTATGTGTATAAGAGACAGTCATGGCAAACTTGCAGTAAAACTGCAAACACCGAAATTAGTTCCTTTGTGACTGTTTTTTTCTTGCCCATATAACCTAACACCAGTCTCTACACTTTAACTTTGGTGAAATTGGTGAAAATCATTTCAGATTGTTTCTGCAAAAACCTGAAAACGCTGTTCTACCTTAAGTAGGACTGGCCTTTGCTTTTGAAGTGGACGCGGGGCATGTCCCAGGCCAGAACAAACTCCATCTTGCTTTGACTCTTGTCGCCTACTTGACAAGACGCACAGACTGCTGCTGCAGTCAGCTCGCCCTCCTGCGACTTGGGAGCTGGATCTGCAAAAGAGAACACAATGATTGCTTCACAAAGTGTCATCTGGCTCGACTTTTCAGTGCATAAAAATGATGCAATTATAAACACAAATGCCATGTTAAGCCAACGTTAAAACCCACAAATTTACATGTAATTCACATATCATACAAATGTACAATTCATTTCCCGTATCAATGGAACTTCAAAAACAACCCATCCTTGAGGTCCTATTGAATAATCTGGATGCCAGCAAATTCACCTGTTGAGGAGTTGAGATGTCCATCTTCTAGCAAATCCTCCCATAAAGCATCAGCATTGGCACTGGGGTTGAAAGCTGCACAATGTGTGACCTTGACTCCCTCCTGGATATGTAGAGAGGAAACGACACATACACTGTAGCTAAAGGCTTGCTGTGGGGAATGGCCAATTAGCTTGTTATAATCTGAACCTTGCTATTAAAATAACTATGAAAAGCAAAAGAATTTGGGAGTCCCTTTGCTCTTAGCAGGATTTTGTCAAAAGAGCCCCCTCTGTATTGACAGCCAACTGTAATAAAATCCTCGCCAATCAGCGTTACAATCACATAAGTGGAATAATCCAGACGGAACAGACTAAATGGGGCTATGCATAAAGAAAATACTTAGATCCTTGCCAATATAAATGCTGAAAACCACACTTCTCCTGACGAGAAGGCCTCATCAATGGGGTTTTTCTCTTCTATCCCTTACTCTCCTTGACCCACAATATTCCTGATTTTCTAATGCACGTTTTCAGTATTTTCTGATGACTTCAGGACCGTACTTATTAAGCATATCATAACACGAATTCTATACAGATTTGGTAAGAAGCCAGTGTAAACTTTTTAATGGTGCAGGTTTTAACCAGGGCATTGCTCAATATGTACATGTAGCAATCCACAATTGGGATTAACATTCCATGCTTGCACACTAAGACAAGTATACCTGCACATAACCCACATTTTATTTAACGGGTAATGAGCATGATTTTATTCTATGTTACAAAATTATTTGCCTAGACTTTTCACAATTTCATTAAATATGATAATTGGAGTTGTAGATGTTTTTTCTAGATTTCATTATTGAATGACAGCATTTAGTAATGAAAATTTTTGTATGTTAATAAATTTCAAATGTTAAATTGTAATTTTATTCTTGTCAATGTTCGTGTAATTGTAATTTTGGAAAATTGTAATGTGCATTCGAACATATGTACATGTATGTATGGAAAGGGCAAAATAAAAATCCATTATTATTATTAACATTATTAAAATATGTTGACTGTTAACAGAATTTCTTGCTGTGGTTGGTAAAGAGTTTTTGCTCAGGTGCATTATAAAATTGTGTCCAAATGCCTAGCTATCATTAATCATGCACGATTCTGTTTGAAGACAATAGAAAGGAGACAATGAAATGTTCCTGGATGTCTCTGCCCAGATATACACGTAGATAAATCCAGTGGCGTTTAACTACACATTCCCAATGGCCCCCTTCGATGGCAAAAAGTACTGTGGTTTAGTACAGAGCAACTGAACTGGAACATTGGCTCTGTACAATAACTCACCACCATTTGTGGGGGCCATGGCAAATGACAAATGACACCATTACCATGGTCACTGGATTTGTCTAAAGATAGGAGTAATTAACTTTTAGTGTTTATCAAGACGTAATGAAAATATGCTAAAGATTTATGAGCTCCAACTCCCCTTAACAAGGCAAAACTCTTTTGGGGCCTTGTTTGAAGGTGCAAAGCTTACTTGACTGGCTGCAGATATACCCATGGTGCATCTGTTGATGGGCTGGTCGTCATGCAGCAGCACGCCCACCACACTGGCCTCACTGGAGCCTTCCGCTCCCTCGGTGCAGAACGCTTCGTTCCAGCGGCCTCCATTCCTGTCACTGGCTGCACCGATCCCGTTCTGCCACGTAAACATGATACTGACGTCGACTGGGGCAGGGGCATGGTTGTGGATCTCCCAGACGAACACACCCACTGGTAGACAGGTGTCCTGATGGCAGGGGCGGAAAAGGCCAAATAGATTAAACATGCATTTCCACAGGATCCCCCAAATGAGACTATTTTTCATTAATCAGGTTTAGTTTGCATTGGATAGAGCAAACTCAGGCACTTTGTCTTGATGTATCACTTAGTTTGGCATCCCAATGAAAATAAATATTATGACAGTGGAAAACGCTGGATTCCTACATCCTGCAAGATTTTTTAAAGCCTTTAAGTCAGAAGTGGCTTTGGTGACTCAATTTTCCCTGCAAAAGAGACATTAAGTTTCATGGTACATGTACTTGAGCACAAATCTCACTGTACATGTAGGTAAAATTTGGAAAGGTTCAATTTGGGGGCTGTCCCTTTGTTTTTCATCAATTTCATGAGTGTGCAAACTACATGTATACACTAGGGAGGAAGTTGGTTGCCATGCACACTTTTCAAAAATATTAAACATGTTGATAATACCCAGCAAAGAAATAGTTTTTCCCCTTATTTAGTTCATGCCTTCTAGGAGGGAGAGGGGGTCCACATATTCAACTCTGTACTCTTGAATATTCATGACAGTGATGAGAAAAGAAGGGGGGCCTTGCCAGTCCAAGCTTTCAACAGTTTAATTCACTGCTCTTTAATGTGTTGGGGAAAACTGTGTTAAGGGTGTCATCTACATGCACCTGTACTTCCATAACAAAGGAGATGGTACATGTATTTCCTTTTTGTTGTTGTTACAAGATCAAATATTAATCAAGCAGCTTGGATTAAAAAGCCAGTAAATGTCAAGAGGTGATTGGCTATGGGTACGGTACATGAAGACCCAAAACTCTTGAGAGTTTCAGGCTTGGTTAGTTAACACAATGCAGTCCAACCAACCTTTCAATAGCAATTAAAATTCAGCACTTGATGGCTGTAGAATACAAGCACATGTAGGTACAACCTAAAGGTTTGTACAGTATGACTGAGTAGCCATATTTTGCTGACAAAAGAGAGAGAATGATGAGATTGGTGTGGTGTTTTCAGTGTTGACTGTACATGTATAGTTGGTGAGCACTGTGTTTGTGGCTTTTACAATGGTGCAAATCTAGTCAACCAACAGGATGCCATGTTAATTATATATAACAGGTATTTTGCCCTTACCCAACGTATACTAAGGGCAAAAATACCTGTTATATATAATTAACATCTCCCCAAGGCAAAATACATCTTGACAAAAGGATGCCATGTCTTGCAAAATACACATGTGCATATTTGTCGTGTCACCACAGTTATGGCGTTTACGTGGATTGGTCCACATGTTACATACTTTTACCAGAAAGGAAAGTATACTTTGATCGCTAATCTGGCCCCTGTTGAAAAGACGCCAGCAGCGCACTGTGCCAGTTTAAGGAACAAAAGAAACTTATGTAACACCACACTATCTGGGCTCTTTTTACAAGGCGGCACGCCTGGTTGAAATACTCAGGCATCAGTCACTCCATGGGGTAGGCGTTCAAGAAAAAACGATAAGAAATTTTGAAGACTTTTGAAAAACGAAGATATTGAAAAATTGCCTGTATGAAGGCACTGCATTTTTAAAAGCACCTGGCAGGAAATACATGTAGTTAAGGGCAACGTCCATGCGGTACGCTAAGGATTCAGTTGGTAACCTCAATGTGGTGTTCCCAGGTTTGACATACATGTACATGTACTCACAAGTTGACTGATATGTCCATTGAAAAGTAGTGGTATCCAGTTGAGTGACTTTTTTGTTTAATCGTTACCTTGGCAACTGACCAACAATGGCATATTCACTTCGAGTTTCCACTTCACAGGACAAAAGGCCTTAAGGCTGAAATATAGACTGATTGTACTAATGCACAAGTATAATGGATCTTCAGTAAAATTGAAGCAACCTACACTGTAGGTATAAATTAAACAGTGTTAATTATTCCTAAAAACAATCAGAGAGACGACCTCTATACATAAATTATACTTACATGTATCTTGTACTGTTTCCAAAATCAGACTAATACAGTCCTTTAATAATGAATGGAAGAGTACCTGCTGCACCTGCTTCCTGGGGCTGTTTTATAAGTTGAGTGCGGTTTGAGAAAGCACTTTAGGCACTTAAAATGTAAGGCCCTTTGGGTTAATTTCGAAGTAAACAGCAGGTCCTGTTGGGGTGCACTCAAGACTAATGGATTACTTTTGTGAGTCCATTGAAGTATAATGTAGTTGAAGTAGGCCCTATTATGATGTACAAAAGAACATTGTGCAACTCAGTAAAACAGGAAAACCCACAAAGAAAACATGAAAACTAATTCTATACATTTCCTTCTACTTATGGCCATTCAAAGATGATTTCTACTAAAATCAAGTGAGGCAGACTTCATTGTATCATTCCATACATCAACATGTACAAACAGCACACATGCACAGCACATGCTGCTCTGTAGCCACAGTCAACCACTGTCTGTGTAGAGAACCAGGAAATGTCATTTGACTCTCGAGATTTCATTTCCTGAGAACACCCGGCCAGTACATGTTTGAGCACCACACTGTGAGAAATGTTAGGCCCAATGTTAAAGGCCAAGATCCCTTTTCACTATGAATTCGTATAGGTACACTGTACATTGTATACCAGTATAATGTAAGTGCACTCCAAACGCGGGTTGGCATTTATGATACCCATAAGCTGCATTTTACCGCAGGGGGAGGGGGGTGAAATGGGAATTTGAACCAACACCGTTCAATCTGATCTTACAATTACGAGGCAATAATTGCAATGTCATGGACATTTCACCTCACAGTCAGTCGTGTTCATAACCCCAAAATACTCGTACATGGCCATCTTTGTTGTTTTTGGATGGCTGCCTTTTGAAGCTCCTGCGATTTTGACATAAAGATGAATGGAAAAGGTCAATCAACTCTTTAGATTGGTCAGCTTCATGAATACTTGTATGTGGTCCGCCTCTGGCCAATGCACTTTATTTTAATTGCTATACAGAGGAACGCCGCTATACCGAACACTGCTATACGAACATTCGGCTGCACCGGACATTGTCCTTGGCTCCCAATAATTTGTGCACAGAACCTACCGAACACTATTCAGTTGCCATTTGTAATTCCCGAACATCAACATGATAAAACACTCAGTGTTTTTTTTTGTTGGAAAGTGACAAGTGGCCATTATTTCCCCAAAGATTAGAAGGGAAAGCCACTAGTTGTCAACGGTATTGAGTAGACACTGGTTTTGCGACTCCACATGATTGGGTGAGAAAGAAAACCGCACGTACACGCACGGTGGAATTGCACTAATAGTCTAAAGAGGGCGCCGCTGATAGACAAATCAACCGAGATTCACCACAGCATGCATCAGAGATCGATCCTGAGTGGTAGTTTCACGACTTTTAGGATAAACTTGATATCAATGTTTTGACTCAAGTTTAAATAAAAAACAAAAATAATTAACAGATACACTGTACATTTCTAGAAACCTTAAACTTGAATGCAACGGCAAAACATCACGAAAACAGCGAACCAACAAGAGAGGGCGCTATTCAACAGGGCAACCAAACGTTTGGCAGTTAAATTTGCTGTACTGAACGACCGCTGTACCGAACATTTAGCGTGGACCCCATCTTGTTCGTTATAGCGGGGTTCCACTGTATCATGTATGTATGTTCAGGTGTTTCTGGGAGTTTGTAGAATATGCACTTACCTTATTTGGATGGGACTTCCCGGTACATGTACATGTAAACGGACAGATTTCTTCTTACTAGAGAAGACACCTGAACAACGGCCTCTAAGCCTGTCAGTTTAACCTCGCAAGAATCCAAATACATGTATGTACATGCATGTAGAAGGGGGTACCACAACTGATGTGCTGACTAAATTTTCAGTAGCTGTGGTACATGTAAGTCATTATCACTTTGAGAACTTTACTAAATTGTTAGAAAAATGCCCAGCAAAGTTGACAAACCTTTAGTATACAGCTAATTTTAATCCATGACATAAAATAAACACTCACTGAATAATCATGTGGAAAAACTGATGACACTTGCCGACACACCAGTGTGACATCTTGGTCTGGTATCCTGTAGACGGTCCACGCCCGCGGATACAAGCCATGGTACTGGGCCTGGTTGCCGGGGAACTGCCACTGCCAGGACTGGGCAAGGTGCTGGCTGGAGACCTGGCCAGGGTACAAGACCTGCTGGTACACTGGCTGATCAGGTCGCTGAATTCTGACAGTAAACTGTCAATGTTGGAAGGGAGACCAGGGGAAAAAAAACAAAACAGGTGCTTATGGCAAAAACTTCAAAATTTTAAAGAAACAATTGACACGAACTTCACCTTTATATAAGCCAAGTCCCAGTCTCTACTGGTGGTTGTATGCCAGAAAAATAAACTGATAACTTTGCAAATGGCCTCACATTAGGTTCACTGTTCTATATTTGTACATGGACAACTGAGAAACAAAGGTCTTCTAAAGGGAATTTTACTTAGAGTCACAAAAACATATCATACAGATTTTCTTATTGAAAATCCTGACAAATTTTACACACCTGATGTTGTTTTGTTCAAGAACAGTTTATGTAAATGCTATGTCATTTCAGCCTAAACTACCAATGCATGACCTAAATAACAAGGAGTTTAAGAGCTGGTGTATAAAAAATGTGAACTATGGCATGTGACTGCTCATATCGTATCATATTGTATCGCCGGAGGTGCCGTCTGAATGCCAACTGCTTGGCAGAACAAATTTGATTTTATCATCCAAGTGGTTCGCTAGGGGTAGTGTAATAAAAGGATGACAGGACCTCACAGAGCCACAACATTTAATAGTAATCTAAGAGCAAAGCAATTGTGCAAACGTGCAATTTTTAATTCTTAATCCATCCCAGGGTATTTGTTCTGACACTACAGACGCGACTTGCATTTTGGGCTTTTTTTTAAGGGAAAACTTCTGATTCTGCAAAGTGATGCCTTGCAAAGATAGATTTTTGTGTAAATTTTCATCAGATTTCAATATACTGTTATCAGGGATCACATTTGAAAAGCAAATCCCAAAACACACAGTTCAAAAAGATTTCATTTACGATGCATATGAACATTTTCTAGATCTTGGTCAGGAAAGTGAAGCAGCCATATTTGTTGATTTGACCAAAACTTTGCATATACATGTACATGTACAACACAGGTTTCAATGAAAAATGTTTAGGACTGAATCTCTTTCAAACCCCAAATTATTCATTTTACACTGATCATCTCAGCAACAAGTGTCCATCCTGCTTACCTGGTTCACTTCCACTATATCGTAGGTGTATATACCAGGGGTGAGGGACCAACGACAGAACTCACCCTTCCAGCCTCTGTTGATTGCCCCACAACCTATCCCTCCAATGGGTACCCCTGCAATGGGAAGGGACTCTTCCAATTACTGATTAAAAATGTGTGTGTTTTAGTCACCTGTCACTTCCACAAAAGTATGAGGGAAAAACCAGAAAAAGAAATGTATGGTGATTTCAGTTCCCAAGAAAACCTCAAACATTAAATCTAAGAGATTCTTTTCAGCACAAACCTTAAAAGAAAGCTACCGGGTATAGTGTACATGAACGTACACACAGTTTACCATTCAATCTTTTAAAAAACAACTGAAAACACAGAAAGTTAAAAAATAAATACAGCAGTTCAAAAGCCTTAAATTTAATTCCTCGTCTGGTACCACGAGCAGACTACATGTACATGTATGGTAAAACACTCAGACAGGACCTCAACAGAATATGTTCAGCTGCGTTATAAACCTGTCAACGAGAAGCACCAGTGAAGTACACAGTGCAAGCACATGGTACATGTATAATTACATGTATTTCTGCATTTACTCATTTTCATCCTAATGTGCACAACAGTACTGGTATTTAAGTGTCCTGTAAATCGCTAAGAAGTCTTTGAAAGCATAAATGCACAATGTACATGTACACACTTATGTGTGAAATATTTGATTTACCACAAGTGCCATGAATTCAGATTTTGGACACTGCCCGGGTCCCACATGTAGAGCTCCATGCTTCACTATACATTCACAAACCACCGAAGATGATAGGGGGGCAGGAAAAAACAGGGCTATCTTTTCCTAAACTTAGTTAAGATTTCAGCCTCCACCTTGCAAGGTTTCATGTACCAGCTACTGGTACAGTCTGGAATCTTTTCAGTGGAATCCCCCAAGGATGCCACAGCTGTCAAAGATACAGTAGCACCTACTGTAAGTTTCAGATGTGGCATAAGAGGCAATACATCAAATGACTCATGGACATCATGCATTAAATGGCAATAGCCGGAACAAGCTTGGACTTGGTAGTGTCATGCTTTAAACTCACCGTATATTCGCTTGAAGGAGACTGGTACAATGTCAATGAATGGTCGTCTGCCAAGCGCCTTCATTTTCTGGATAAATTTAAAGTATCTGCCAAAAAAAGAAAAACATTTCATCTCTGAAATCACTGGATCACATTAAACCCTAAGCTAAGAATCCTTGTGCCAGTTAGAGGCCGGTGTAAAAATGTGAAAAAGGAAAGGAACCCCAACGAAGTCACACTAGTAAACCCCTCCCCTCCCTCCCATTTCAGGGTTATGAAAATGAACAGTAATGTTTCAAATTTTGGAGGAAGGACAGCTACATGTACATCATTTAATGTCTGTCATGAAGAATATCGCTCATCCCTTATCCCTTCACAGCCATCTGCATTTGATCAGAAAATGTGATTTAATGGAAGTGCCAGTTGTACAGACTTTTTTATCATTAATATCTGCTGATGGTTGAATAAACTGAACTGCACTTTCATTATGACAAAGGAAATTTACAGATTACCCAGAAGTACATGTACACGTACATGTACATTAGAAAATGTCACCCAGCAAAGGAAATATATACATGTACATGTAATGGGCATGAGGACATCACAAAGATGTGCTGGTACTGGAAATGTACTGTACATACATGTACATGTATACGTGTACACGTACAAGTACATGTACATCACCAATTTAGTGAGTCATGGGATCTTGTCCACATGGTAGCATACCGGTAATGCATCCAACGTACATGTATCAAACAGCAACACCAAGTTTGAGCATGTAATCCACCACTCTAAAGGTTTAACAGGACAAGGGCACTCTCACCATTAACTCTATCATTTATGGAAAGGTTCATGTACATCGTTTATGTCCTACATGTAGTACATGTACATGTCATGGACTTAGGTGATAGATTCAACAATTACATTACATTTGAGAAAATCAGGGATGACTGTACATGTACATTGAAAGTGTTGAATCCAGCATAAAGCTTGTTAAATCCAACATTTTACATTTTAAATCCAGCATGTTTAGACTGGTAATTCAACAATTCTAGTTCTGATTCAATTCAACAATTTCAAGAAAAACCTTTGTAAAACACTGAAATTCTTGAATTTATTCTTTTAACATAGGACAAAATGTTTATAAATTGCAGGATATTACAACTGATATGCTGGATTCAACACTTTCAAAGTGTATCGTCACTGACCCACTGATGTAAGAGTTGGATTCAACACTTTTTGTATGAGTGCATGTACATGTACACAAATAACTGTCAAGTTCTAACAAAAATTGAAACGCCAGCAGAAAACTGGAAGAACTGCTACGCCTGCTCAATCTCCTCTTGCAGAACTTATATCATTCAGTTTCTCCAATGTACATGTACCTGTACATAAAGTGATGGTGTAAATTACATGTACCACTGATGAAGGTCTTTCCACAAAGACCAGTTTGGCCAGGAGGACAACACAACAGCTGGCTGAAGCTGGAACAAATGCAGGGAACAGATAACAAACTACCATCAAGGCATACTGTACATGATGTACATGTACACCTTCCATGGCACAACATGCAAATTATGGACATGCATATGTACACAAGTATACATACATGTACATGTACAGTGTAATTGCTTTTAAAATAAAATTAAATTTACTGTTGTTTTTAATGCAAACATGGCAAAAATTGTAATTTCCTACTATAACAGCATTACATTTACCGGTATGCATGCATCCATTATCTCATGTTAAGAACTGTTTCACAATTTACATGTACATCTATGATCTGTTTAATACATAATTTACATTAATGTACATGTGTCGGTTGTGTACATGTACGTACATTTAACAATTGTTGCGTATGATACTGGGGTCCATGGTGTTTTGTACACCTGAGGGGGCAAACGGCACTCGAGGCAAAGCTGAGGGTGCCATTTGCCCCCTTGGGGGTTGGAGCCTAAAATACAATGATACATGTACATGCAGTTATTTTTCATGCAGATGTTTTCTTTTTTAAAAAAATGAGCTACACGTAAATCTGAATCAGTGACAGTGGAAGATTTCCAGATTTTGGTTGAGTTCATATGGAATTTTAAATACATGCACTGTACATGTACATGTACCAGTACAGTGTATATTTTACTTCCTGTCATTACATGTACATGTATATTTAATCCTAATTTGTGACTATACTACTTCAAACTTGCATGTACAACAACTTGTAAAAATCACACGCAATTTGGCTTTTGGGCCACAAGGTATGATACGTTTTAATAAAATATATGTACCAGTGAATAAATTTTTACTACATGTACATGTAACTTTACTGTAATGTTACATGGGGCTGATTGTTTAATTTAGATTCAACAAATGAACATGACAACTGGTTACACTGCACTGCGCATGTACATCGCCTCTTACATTTTGTTGAAATGACAGTTGCAGTTAAAGTCTTAGTGCAGAGGAGGGGTGCTGCTCCCCCAATGTACAGTGAGTTTGTCTGGGAAAGAAGTGTTAATGAGGGAAGACAGGTAAATGAATGAAATGAATGGAATGAGAGATGCCCTGTTGCCTGAAAATTAGGTTGAGAAGCTTATCTACACTACATGTACATGTATGGTAGGCCTTGTGCATGAAGGACAGAATCTCTAGTTTTACTCAACTAGATGATTACATGCAGATTGTCAATCTACAATGCACTGCACATGTACATGTACTGTAAGTAATGTTTGATCACAATCTCTTTCAAACTGTTTAATCACAGATTAAAGCAAGAAATTTTAATCCTTGTGGCAACCACAGAAGCATAAAGGTCAACACCTGCATAAACTATGGTACATGCACAGTACACATGGACTAAGGAACTTGCAACAATTTGAGACAGGTGTAATGATACCACGTGATTTCAAGAAGTGGTGACATGTAAACTAACATAAATCCTTTGAAGTTGTTTCCATCACCATGGCAATGGGCAGTGTCTCATTGTAATTGGTGGTCTAAAGAAAAAACTAGATCCAAAAAGTCAACTAGAAGTGGCACATACATGTACATGTATGCTTGTCTTCTGGTCTTATCATCAGCATCTGATTTGCTTTTTGTGCATGCAATGTGCGCATACAGTATAACTTTTCTTTACTGATAGGAAAATCCTGCACATCTGTAGGTAATTCCCTGGCCAACTGACTGCCATACCTGTTTTGCAATGGATTATTCACAATGTATCCTACATGTATACATGTACATGGACGTAAGTTTGGAACTTACAATGCACATGTACATCTAACGTTGTTTCTTTGTTGGAAGTGTCCTCCATCATAGAGCTTTCTTTTGAAATTTTTTACTTTGCTATGTTCAGGTAAAACTACTAGTATGTCTGGCCTTGATGACAGACTGACACATTTGAACAAAGATGTCAGTCTGTTTCCATGGCAACACATACATGTACTCGTACATGAATACGTGTAGCTTTTAATGGAGGCAGGCAGACAAAGGGAGTGGGCAGGGACAGGACTCCTGGAGACTATACTTTTGTTTATACTGGGCCTTAACAATGGATAAAGGGCACACATGTACACATATCGGTACCGATACTGGTAGTTTGAAGGCATTTAGCCCGACCAATCACAACACAGCTCCTATCTTTTCCTGTTGTTTTCCTGACCCCCATTCAAATGAAAGCTGAGCTATGATTGGTCATTGGAATGGACACAAATGGGATCAATCACAGTGCGGCTCACATCTGTAGGTGGCAGGAAAACAAAAGGAAAAGATAGGAACTGTGTTGCAATTGGTCAAGCTATCACGCAGTTGACAGTACCGGTACATGCTGCTGGTTTTCTGTAGTGTGGATGGGCAACATGCTCAAAAATTTCACTATTTCAGTGAGGATATTATAAGGTGAATAAACCTCCCCATCTGACATCTAACTTCACCAAGAAGGCATACAATGTATATGTAGGAAATTTGGTTGCACAAATAGCTGTGATGGAAGAGTATATGTAAGTTGGCATGATCCAAACAGCCAAAATGTATTTATGGGAGTTTGTACATGGCTATCAAAAAAAGTTTATCGGTAAGGTTTGTAAAAACCTTACAGTTCTGGAACTGGAAGTGAATGTGATATCAGCCTGTGCCTACTCTGGCAACTCAGTACCATTGGAAAAGATAAACCTAATTCAACCTTCCTGATTGTCTGCATCACACCAAAGGTTATAATAAACTGTTTACGTATCGACGGAAACGCACAAGCAATGTTCTCTCTATGCCAATTTGGAAAGCAGGTTTTACTTAGTTGAATTTTTTACAAAGTTAAAATAGTTTACATGTACATGTAAATCACATCATGGTAAGAGTTCCAGCTATGGACATCATCAATTTTCCCTTGCAGTGATTCATTACCGATCAGAAAGTGATGACATGCCCTAATAAGTCCAACTGAGCACGGAAAAACTGAAGCATTTATCTAGACAATATGTAGAATTTTTCAGACCAGCCTCAGTCGCAGGATTTGCACACAAAGTAACCTGGGTGTCAACATAATTTATGAACTCACTCCGGATCCACTCCTTGTTCTGCAGCAACGGGCCCATACTAGTTCTAAGCTCTGAGGCTAAGGGTTTTCTCGAATAGAAATCAAAGTTTGAAAAATATAAACTTAACGTTGAATCACGCCTTCATTATATGGTAATTATATAAAAATGATGTACATGATGTAGGCAGGGACAGGGTAGGCAGGGCCTGCATTACTTACCTGCAAATTGTGGGGATAAGTTTTATCATTTGAAGAAATCGCAGATACTTGAGTGCTCCCCACTTTTCTGGGAACTCGTGGTCCAGTGGTACTCTCCAGCCAAACTCCGGCACACCAAAATGTCCCAAAGACATGTCGCCCGGCTTGGCCGATTCCGTGTTCACGCTGGCCATTTTGTATCGATATGTGCGAACTTAATGGTTTGCAGTTCAGAGCGACAAAGCCTGTGTCACGCTCGCAGTACTGCTCCTCCTAACCAGACCAAGGCAAGCGCACGCACGTGGGGCCTTAAACTGCCAAAAATACAAGAATTCTGTCGTTTTGATGAATTATTCAAACCACACAAGACAATGTATCACCATGCATGATGCGTCTTTAGCGTATGAAGAGTAAATCTACCGTAAAAATGGCACTACAGTACATGTAGCTCCCTTGAAGAAAGACGTTCGGCATCTGTAGGCTGTCGATGTCTGAACTGTTTATGTCGCATGGTTCGTTCGCACACTTTGTGCGCAAATGCCCTGGCCCCCGCCTCTTACGATTTCCACTTCGCGACTTAAAGTCATTGGAGCGAAACCAGCCTAAGTATCAGCTGTTTTCACAAAACACACTGTACTGCCTATTGTGTCTCTAATTTTAGCAACTGCTTTTATTTATTCTTGGTATGACGTCAAGACAATTCCCCGAAAATAAAGTAGCAATATGCAGCCACCTATTCCTGCAATTTTACATCTGCTGTGCACCTGTACCTTTCCTTTTTTATGTTTTCCAGTCGCGTTTGCGTTTACGTTAATCAAGATAATTAAGAGGACAATCCATTGGAAGTTGTTTGTCATTGTAAAATTCTCTTTTATGTCAATTTAAATCTCATTTTAAATGTCTCTACAGGCCTAAAGATATTTTGGCGCGTTATAAGCCTGTGCTAATCGGATTTCTATTGTGGTGGGTTCGTCTGCCGGAAGACGGAGGCACAAATTGTAAAAGGACGATCACATTCACACGGATTTACATAAGCGGACGGGTTTATTCTGGACATTTGCCGACAACTAGCAACCAACCACACTGGCCAACTATACTCTCAACTCCACTAAAAACAAAACTATCTGTAATCGACTATTTATATCTGTTGGGTTGTTTTTAAACATTCGACCATAACACAAGGGAAAAACATAAGACAAAACGAATACAGTGGCAAAAACAACTTTACCCACTCCATCCCTGATACTGTTGAGCCAGTGAGAATCTCATGAACACAGCGCTTTTCAACTTGAACATGAGTGAGGTGCTGGCTCGCACGCCCGCGTGACCATGGTGACAGTGATCGTAAGTACATGCATTCATTGATATCATTGATATCATATTGATATCATTAATATTATAAAGTGAGGCCTGGAGTAATCATACAAAAATGACACTGGGTTTCAGCATAGAGATATAAATTATGGGTACATTCCAGCAAATCGTTGTATTTCTGCGAGCGAGCTCATTGATGTTTTGTGATCCCACGGGGTTTTTACAATAAGACATGCCATAATCAGGAGGGATCATGGAAATATTTCTATAAGTGTTGAATTGGGGACTGGTAATTTCCAGTTCGGGGTATTTCTTTCACAAAAAGCCCAAAATGGAAGGCTTATGTTGGATAGAGGCGGGCGGCTACTACACTGATTCAAAGCCGAGTGCATATAGTTTTACAATTATTGTGGGGGTATCTTCGGGGAAAGGCGACTACAAATTTTCCTCGGGGCTTACCCGCATGAAATTGAAACGAAAAGTGGTCTTCCGGCTTGCCATGCATAACCTTGAATTTCCAGTGAAAAAACAACGGAGTTCAATCTCTTCCCGAGAGTCAACAGGCGGCGTTGTTTCGGTCTGATTTTGCACTGTTTTCTATGAGCGCGTATTGTAGTGCAACCATGAAAAACGAGAGCGCTGACTCATGTACAAAGTGATGCCTGCTGGGCGCATCCGTGTATGTGCACAAACATAATATGGAAAATCGAAATTTGGTACGGCTTTTGTACGGTTATTTGCATACCTGCGTCTGTATTCTAAAACTACATGTCAACTTGAAAACCGATACGCAATCAACCTAAACGCGCGATCAGTAAATGGACCTTTCCATGAAATATGCAAATAAGGCAGGCGCATGCACATTACTACCACTGGTTGGCAAAGTTCCTTAAATCTTTGACGCAACTCTCCACGCGCGCGTCACTACTATCGCCGTTGCTGGGCTGTACGGTTTGACATTTGTGCATGTGCCAAACTAAAAAACAAGGAACTGTTACTTTCTAACCTCGCGTGTTTGGTGTAGTCCAACCCTATGTGCAGTGCACGTGTGCAGTGGGCGTGATTTAAACTGATGTGACGTCACTCTTACGAACCGTATTCTACCTGATTTTGAATGTTCTACAAGCAAGGCGTTCGAGAACAAGCCACCCGAACTCAGCCACTGCGCCCACACGTCGTACCCGGTACCAAGCACCAGCAACATGTTTTGCATGGACGTAAATGACCACGAGAGGGCGCTACATTTTTAGGCAGACGACGTGCGCGCGATCGCGACGACTACGTGTCGCTGTGCAAATTGTGGGAGAAAGTGGGTGAATGGCAAATTAGCAAAGTGGAAAATGGGCGAAGTGCTAATTGGGCGAAGAGGCAACTGGGCAAAGTGGGCATCGTGGATGGAATGAAAAAGGGGCCAAATAGTGCGTGCGCTCTCCAACTCTATTTTGTGCGCTCCTTACTGGATCGACTCATCTGTTTCGTCACGAATTGTCGAATATTAACGTTCTAAGATTTCATCAGTCATTTCAGGACAGGCCTACGGTAAGATGTCAAAGATTGGGGGGGGGGTGCTTGTTAACCATGTAACGTACAACGTTAGACGCCTGGAAGTATACTAGGCCCAGGGAACGAACACATGGCAGGCCTCGCGGTAGGACATGTGAGAATTACATGTAATTGCATGTGACAATGGACATGGTGGACATGGATTTCGGGTCAGGAGATCGGCCTCAACCGATACCCAGTTAATCACAACCCTTCATGACATAAATCGATAAGAAAAAGGCTGCGGATAAGCCTTATTGCAAATACTGCATGGGTGATTCAAAATATGTACATTGGTGGAAAGATTGTGGGAAATTCGAAAAAGGAGCAAACCTTAAGCCCTTTGCCTTCCCACAATTCCTTTCTACTGTTGTGAAAAATCACCTATGCAGTATTTGCGATAAGGCTTATGTAGCTATATTGGACTTTCCTAAAGCCTTTGGATAAACTGTTGTTGCTGAAACTCTGTCACTTTGGAATTACCGGTTCACTGTATACATGTAGGCTTACCCAGATTTGCGTCGTACCCAAAAAGTTAGCATCAGAGGACACTCGTCTGAGTCCTTACCAGATACTTCTGGAGTTCCCCAAGGTTCTGTCCTTGGACCGTTGCTTTTTTGATGTACATGTTCATAAAATTAATGATCTCCCAATGTACTTGTTATCCTCCGTCCGTCTTTTTTGCAGATGATTGCCTTAATGATGATTGCTGACTTCAACAAGATCTTTATAGCCCTAAATTAGAATTATAGCAATCAAAGTGGCTGATGAAATTCAATGCTATCAAGTGTACCACTTTTTCTGTGGGGTTTAGGCAATACTATGTGCTAAACCTACATGTAGCTAGCAGTTCTGTTTCAGTGTCCTATAGAATGTTGACTCTCAACGATATTTTGGTGTTACTATTACTAGTAACATGACCTGGAGAGGACACATGTCTGAAGTGGTTAAAAAATCTCAAATGATATCCGGATTAATCAAACGGAACTATAGGTTATGTAATACTAATGTCAAAGAAACAGCCTATGTCACAGTTACATCCCTTCTCTCAAAAATCATGGATGGCTTACCCTAGAGCAACGAAGAAAAATCAGTCGATTAGCCTTGATAAGATTCTGAATAGCATTGTTGATTTACCAGCAGTGGCTTTTGTCACTACAACACACGATCATCTCGGGGACACAAGTAAAAATTACACTAACTGTTTGTCAGGACCAGTGCCTTCAGCAACAGCTTCTTTCCACGGACAATCAAGGATTGGAATAATCAAAAAACAATTTGGAAAAAATATATTGAAAACATTGAAAATTTTGAATAGCCCTTAAAATACCAGTAGGCCTAGACATGTGGGCGGGAAACAATATGGGCCTGCTCAATTGTTGTGCTGGAACCCGCCTTCCTGCATGACAAACGAGTTGTAGCTGGCTACAAGGTCACAATGTCACACCGTTCTCATGGGTATTTCCATCTGGTAGCCACGTAGATTTTTGACACTCTTGCACAGCATTGTCAGCAGCATTGCCTTGAAATGCAGTACAGCTCCTATCTTTTTCTTCTTGATTTCCTAAACCTGAAAATGGAAGTCGATCTGTGACTGGTCTCATTGAATACTACATGTACATGTTCATGTATACTATGACCGACATAAACAACACAAGGTTACAATAGCCTCCCTTTTGACAATCATCCTCATTCCTCCAAAACCGCTCGGAGGATTTTGAAGATTGAGGGTGGTCATGACCGGCTGAACGAGTGAAGCCATATCACGGAAAGCTTTTTCGCAAAGTAAAAGCTTTCTGATTGTTTTGGGAGGAATTGGTGTAGGGTCAAGGATACGAAGAAGTCCAGGAGATGGTCCTAGTGTGGTGCTAGCCCAAGACAGGCAGAGTTAGGGTGGGAATAACCTCTCATGTCGTTGGATCAGTCAATCACCCTGTGTAATATGTCACTCATGTCAGTCAATTAATTAGATTTCACATCCACCACGCGTGTAAATTGTAAAGAAAGTGTGGATGATTGATGGGAGATCAGCTGATAGTGCAGCAATTGTGTCAACCAATTGTACAGATCAGTTGGTTAAATTTCACTCTCTTGAAGATTGACTGTCAGTGCAAAACGACTTACATGTATTTTATCCAACATGCAAATAGACAAGATGGGCAAATTTGGACCCTACTGTTCACCTTTGTAAAAAATTAGGCTTAATTTTCAATACTGTGTCATTCAAGTATGTGTAAATGTTTAAAGACATTTCATAAGATTGGAGTTATTGAGCCAGCTTGATATTTCAGAAAGGCAAAATCCATTGAGAACAAATCACTTGTGTGAATCGGCATCCGTGCTGACAGGACAGACCGCATGCGTGTATTGCTGCCCCAGTGTGACCTCAGACATGCTTCATTTTGGGCATGCACTTGTGGAATATTGAATTGTGATTGCTAAGCCAGTTTGGTAATATTTTAGAATGTTTTACAGATATTTTTGTAAGAATGGGGAATCAACCAATCAAACAAATTAAGCATAAATTAAGATATTTGAAGATATCATGTTTTGTTTCAGACAAAACACCCATGCACATTAAACTCTTATAAACCCTTCTTCTACAACGGTTGTAGTATTTTACATTTTTTCAGAACTTGAGTTCATCAAATTCTAATTGCATGCCAAGTCAGGGTGCCGTCATGATTGAAGTCAGCGCACACTTGACCCGAGGGCTGACCTTCCTGGCTGGAGAAATTGTGGAATGCAGTATCGCATTCACCTGCCCCTCTAATGCCACCAGGTAAGGAGATGGACAGCATGCAGTAGATGTCAGTGTAAAGCTAAACAATAGTCTTTGACAATTTAAAACATTGTAGAAAGCTCTGGTTAATTTTGAGAAAAGCCTGTGCTACCATTGCTATCACACTTTTGGCCACTTCCAAACCAGAAGTAGAACTGTGACGTTAGTGGCTGAAAGTCAAAATGGTGTCAGTATACCACAAGGAGAAAGAGTTCAGCATACTTAAATTCTCAGTTGGTGGCAAAAATCCCTCTGTGATTCGAATTTGTTCCCTCTGGAAAACCTGTGTGAGTTCCAGCCATTTGTTGGTGTCTCCACATTTGTGATTCCCTTCTTTTCTTGGGCCTGATTCCCAGTTATGCCTAGCTTCTGGGTTTTATGTCTGTTGAGAGTAGATTCATCCCAGGGGATGCGATGACTGTGTTGGCAACAGGGAAAACAGGGAAAACTAGATTTTCGCATTTTGTATTCAGGGAAAAGTCAGGAAATTTGAATCAGGGAAAAGTCAGCGAATTTGGTTGGCCTGAAAGATGAAGTGTTCAGTCTGTTATACATGTACATGTATGTTGTTCATGTCTGGCATGTCGTCAACAATATTGAAGATGTGTCAAATGGGCAATAGGTCAAAATGATTGTCCTGGAAAACTCAGGGAAAATAAGGAAATTTTGTTTTTATGAAATGCAGGGATGCCTGACTGAAGGATGTTGCAACAGTGTTAATACTCCTGTTTCACCACCACAGTTAAAACTTCTAATTATGGCCTCAAGATGAGTCTGTGGTTTGGGAGAGAGTCATTGTCCAATGGAGGACCGTCCACATAGAGCATTATCATGAAAAATTATGGGTGGCTAAGCATGCTTTGCTTCAGTTTTAACTTCTAAGGCACTGTGCTAGTAAAAGTTACCTTCTTGAATCCTACGAACTCTTTATTTTTCACTAAACTGGTGCCACATTCTTGGGATTTAACTCTTGCTGGAAATCATAACCCCATATAAAGCAGCAATTCCCAGATTGTACCTTTGTCGACCCCTTCAAATGCTCCAAAATCTCTGAGGGATCAGGAGAGGTCATACATGCATTCATTTCAAATTTGCTGCCACGGTCAAGTGGATTGAAGTGCAGCATTTTCTTTAAATTTGTGAAAGTGATCCTTTTTGCCTTTCTCCCCTCACATCGCAGCAGCCTGGAATCTCTGGCCTGGGCCAGTGCCCAGCTCCACTGTCAGTGTCACATCAGCAGCTCCAAAGTCATTCTGCCCAAGATGCCAGCGGACGAGAAGTCCGAAGAGCTGGAGATGCTGCAGAGCTCGGTCAATACAAGCCTCGCTCCCAGCAGAGGTGGGTAACGGTCGTAACAGTTTCAACTGCCCTGGAGGCAGCAGTGCAAAGTGTTGCCGTTGTGTGTTTGTGCATGACAAATGTAAAGTGAGTGTCCCCATTGTTTTGACCCTCAGGAGAAAAGGGCCAGTGTATCCTCTCAACAGAACCAAAGATTCTTTTCTGCGATCTGAAGCTGAAACCTGGTGAAAGGAAAACATGTGAGTTACATGAAATCTTAGTCCCCCCCCACCAAATTTCTTTGTGCCTTTCTTTCAGTTTCATTTTGAAGGCATTTTGATTTATCCATTTGACATCTTGGATATGAACAATTTTGGGTGAAAATTGCAATTGATCTCCATTGTGTATGATTGATTCAAGAGCCGTTTATCTCAGATGTTGCAGCTGTGGTGATAACCAAAAGCTTGATTGGTCAGTAAATTTTCTTCAGCAAAAGGACATTGAAGTTATGAAGTGTAGGTTGTGTTTGAGGAAAAAAGTCACACTTTTGTCACTTGCTAGGGTACATTGAATTCAAGATGACTTGTACAGTGAAGGTTTTATATGATTTGGCTACATTTGATGCAGATGGCTACCTTTGTACATATAATCAGATGTGCTTTGTGGCTTTGCAGATGTACAATTTGCATTATTTAAAGACGCAAGTTTTGTATTCCTCTCATGTCAAGTTGTGGTCAAGTGCGTTCAGTGTGCATGTCATGCTAACCCGTGACTGCCGTTTTCTTTGTCCGCCCAATTGGTTGCAGTCCTGTATCGTGAGACGATTCCTAGCGATGCGCCACCGTCCTACAGAGGTCAAGCAGTCAAGTATTCCTACAAGGTCACCATAGGCATGCAGCGGGTCAACTGCCCCATCAGACTGCTGCGGGTGCCCTTCAGGGTTCTGGTTTTGTACGGTGAGTAGAAAGTTTGTCCATTGCTGAACACCTGACATTGAAGGGTTCATTAATTTGAACTCTTTAATTGTGGAACGAGACTCCTCAAAGGGAGCACAGGCGTAATGCTTTGAAGCCTGAAGAAGCCTACAGAGAGAGACGACAAAGAAAGGATGAAATTTAGGGGATGGGAAGAAAATCCAGCATTGAGCTTATTTCTATTTCAGTAAAAACCGCACAATCACGTGGGGACTGATGGAGACACAGTGTATGCACTGGCTGAGGTGGGATGCGAACCCACTTCACAGCAGTGGACGGCCATCCCTGATGCTGAAGGAGATTTTCTTCATAATGTACATTCCATATTTCAGTAAGAGAGTCCATTTGCTAACCTCTTGAATAGAGACTTCTGGCCTGCCTAGTGTCATTGCCCTTACGTGCTCAGTGGTTGATTCTGAGGATTGAAGAAAATTTTAATAGGGAGTTCAGGGTTAGCACTTGCTGACAGTATCATTTTGGGCTGAAAAATCCCACTATAAAAAAACAGACAAAATGTATGTTTCTACTGGCCAAATGGCCTTAAATACCAACTCTTGAAAGCCATTTGTGTGATATTTATACAACATTTCGTAGCACACTCTCTCATCAATGGATATTTGCTACAGTGCAGGCTTTACACTTCCTGGACATTAATGTGTACAATGAAAACAAGGAAATGGACATATATACGCTTTGCCATCGAGGCTCTGGTCGTCATTTTGACCTGTCAGCTACCTCCATCAGTATTCATCACCTGATTGTGTTTATTTTGGCTGTGATCGGTCAATATGCATGATCGGTAGATCTTGCTGCACAATTTGTTGATAATTCTGCCATCAGCCAATTGCCTTTTTTCTCTCTTAATCAATTGTGAAAGATTGTTTCCAAAGACGGGAAGTAACGTTGGAGACTTCCTGCAGAATGGACCAGTTGTGCAGAGCGGTCGATTTTGAAGACACACATATTGTTCGCTTCTTCTCCCCAGGTCTTGGAGACACCAGTCTACAGGAACAGGAGGACCAGGCCGCTTCCAGCAACCCCTTCCTTGCTGAAGAGAGGACCAAGAATTCTCTGCTTGATCTTGCCGTCCAGGTTTTGAACACAGTCACTTCAAGGAAAAACCCAAGTAAATATCTTCAGGGTTTTTTTCATAAGCGATCCCAGATTTGTCTGTGGGTTGGTATCGCTTGATGGCATTTAGTAGTGGTTGGGGAACTGGATGGCCTGGGGCAGGAACCAGACATTTCACAGACAATCCCAGATCGTCTTTCGCGTTGTATTAGAACCCTTGATAGCTTGAAATAGAGATCAGGAAACTGCATTTCTTGGGGCTGGAACC